TTGAGACTGAGTATGATATGAAGAATTGTTGGTTGATACTGGGTACTGATATGATGAATTATTGAGATGATATTGTAAGCTAAACGTTTTTGAAGTTGATAATAGTTTTGATGTTGATATATTATTACATTTGAAGCAGTCACTGTATTTGGGATGTCTTTCCTCGCATTTTTTTCAATCCTATACTCAATGCTAACATAACTTGTTATTTGTACTCTAGTGATGGTGGTCTTCGGTTCGGTGAGATGGAACGTGATTGTATGATTGCTCATGGTGCCGCACAGTTTCTCAATGAGCGTCTGTTCGAAGTGTCTGATCCATACAGTTGTCATGTTTGTAATCTTTGTGGATTAATCGCCATCGCTAATCTACGTAACAACACTTTTGAATGTCGTGGATGCAAGAACAAGACTCAGGTATGTTGTTTTTGATTTGTTCTGCTTTCATTGAAACAGTAGCCTGCGATAAAACCGGATGCAACGCAGGCTATGAAACAGTTGTGTAAATAAAATTACGCTAATCCTTCGAAGGATTTTAAAATGTCTAAAACGTCAGTAAGTTGTTTCACCCATTTTTTTACGGTGTTAAATTTATCTTTTCACACAACTACTCACACTAGTTTGCCGCTAGTTTCAACCATTTTGCTTTCAATGAAACTTGGATTAAAAACAAAAATGCTTTCAAGGTTGGAAAGTTCGATAGCCTTGTGCTTGATCGTTGACTTTAGCATAAGTCAGAATGGTTTGAATGGTCAAATAACTGATCTATTCATAAGGGGAATTAAGTTTTATTCATATAAGGGTTAATAGGCATTAATTATGTTATAATCTTATCGGATGTAGTCTTCCCTCGAAGATTATTATCAGAAAGATGTCTCAAAAATCTTTCTTTCGTTGTGTAAGAGGATCAAACGTCACAAGTGACATTTGATTTTCTCGTTCTGTTTGTAYAAGTATTACTGTCGTGAAATACACGTCGAATATGGTCGATTAATTGTGATATTAGTGCAATAAAGCAAAATTTTCGATATTGCACATATTCACCAAACGTTACTCTTTATACCGTCGTTAAACCAATGTATATTTAAAAAAATGCACCCGCGCAGACCGTTTGCAAAAATATGGCTATGCATAGGCCTTTTCTAGTATACCAGTTTGCATTGCAAGTGGTCTAGATTCGGTACAAAAATCTTTTGTTCATATTGCCAAATATGGCGTTGTTTGTACTGAATCTAGACCACAATGCACCATAATTTCGTATTTGAGAAAAGGTCTATGGGAATACACCTCCATGTAGGTGACAAAACAAGTGATTCTAGTTCCAATGAAAGCCAAAATCTCTTGTTTTATCTGCCACATAAAGCTGCAATGACATCGCATGTCTGTACCGGCTATAAACGCGTTTTCTCCGCAAATTTCAAATTAATGGATATTTTGGTGCTTTCATCAGATTTCAAGAATTCGAATGCCGTATGCAGCCAAGCTACTGTTCCAGGAGCTGATGTCCATGAGCATCGCCCCTCGAATGATGGTATGCGATCCCGTCAAGTAGACTGATCGCATATTATATCGTATAAGCTCGGATAGACATCGAGTACTCGACTGCACGACGATTCAACCACGAACTTACGACGACCTCGTCACGAATTCACGAACTTCATTGTCGTCCCTTGAAGATGGTATGCGATCCCATTATGTTAACAGATCGCATATCATCGGACAAACTCGGATAGACTTCGGGTACGACKGAAGCACGAACTAGCAACGATAACATCACGAGTTTGATACGATTTCATGTCGAGTTTCCGATGTAGATAAGTATTTATTTTCATCGACTTCGTAAGCATTCATCTCTTGTGAAAAACGAGGTATGCTTACGAGTTAATATTTTTTCGTGTACAAAGCTGATTGTAGGGTATAGATTTCTAATTAAACAAGCTAATAAACTTAGATTTGTTTTATTTCTTTGTGAAAGCTCGCCAGCCATACATGAGTGTCACAAGAAGCATCATCGAGGAATATGCGATTAAGAGCTTCGAGAAACTGAAAAAAGAAGTGGGATTATTTTTTGAGTTYTTAATGTCCTTGATGTTATGTTATTCATTAATGATACAGTCAAAGGTTTAGTTATAGGAATACTCATTATTTTTGTAAGCAATCCATAAAAGCATGTCACCCTTGYCCGTGCAGTCGGCTAGCTTTTAAAAGCAATGAAATATCCACTTGTTTCACAAAAGAAATGCTCCTGATTGTCTGTCGACAAAAAATTAAGTTTTCGTTCGTAGACCATCTATGCAATGAGATTGGGCATTGCAAAAATTTCAAGTGTTGAGAAAGGAGTCTATGAGAAGCAGCGTAAGAATGCTCAGTGTTACCACAAATTTTTGCTTTCGAGTCCATTTTCTTTACAGGTGCTCTCGAGTCGAGTTTTTGTCTGTTCTCTATACCTGGGTATAGATTGAAAGACGTCGACTCAGTTTTCTTTTCAAAAGAGATCCTTCAATCTATGACGAATACCATGCTATCAACGAACCAATGAAAAGCAAGTAAAGCACTGGAAATAACACACGTGAAGCTGTGTCGACGTAATGAGCGCCATGAATTCGAGGCATGTCTTGGCAACGCGGCGTMGAGGGCAAGAGGTCGTTGCTACCATTCATTGAAATTGTGTTCAGCCCCTCATTCTTGTTATCTCGGTCGGATTTGACCTGAAATAAGTCAGAAGCAATTATCAGTTTAAAAAGGTTTGTTATGTTTTCAATATCATACCACAGAAAAAATATAATATGCAAAATGTGTTTCAGAGTCTCCAAAATGCGTTTAGGTATGTAGGGATAGTTAGGGTAGGTTATAATGGGGTCTTATACACCCTTTTAATAAGTCCCGAGGTATTCTTTTCTCCGCACTTTACGTCAAATTTATTCTTTTGAAATTTTTACTATACAAAAGAAATTGAAAAGAATAAATTTGACGTCAAGTGCGGAAAATGTAATATCTCGGGACTTATTAAAAGGGTGTATACGACTCTGTAAGGCAGCGTCAACCAAAGTAGTCTCCTTCACTGCGCTTCTGCACTTCTCCTGCGGCATCTTGAAAGGTAGCCGTGCCTTTACATCGAAGCGAGACAGCCGTTGAGCGTGCAAAGATAGATACCTGTGAATAATTGTCTGTAGGTGTGAAAGAAGGTTTCTATCATTRCACGCTCAACGGTCATCTCGCTTCGATGCAAAGCCACGGCAACTTTCAAGATGGCGCAGGGAACCGTAAAGAAGGACTATTGGCTCCTTCACTAACTTCATTAATTATTTATGACTTCGAGAAATCACGTGACATTTACCTTGGAATCTTGAACATCGATAGTCGATAGGTTGCCATAAGTCTCAGTCGTKGATGTTGTRTCRCGTTTRTTTGTTTGAGAAGACGATGTGTTCAGCACTACAACAAACTCGACGAGCGACATGAAGATGAAAAATAAACTTCCCATCAGAAATGTGTCCATGGCTTTCAAATAGCTCACCTGTATAAGGAAAAGTTGTTRAAATGTTTTGCAAAKAACAAGCATTATATTATTTTAGCACCTACTGACAACGTCGAATGCTAATTTTGAAAGAAATTCCGTTCTCCATCTTTTTTATAAGATATCTACCGTTCTGATACTTTGTTAAATACAATGGTGCACATCGTCAAATTAGGTGACGCAAATAAGACAGAGGGCCTTCCTAGTTACCTTAAGCATATCTGAAGCACTTTGCGTAGTAATACACAGCTTCATAACGAAACGACGTCATAAAGCATGGCGTTATAACGACATGACGTCATAATAACACGTCATAACATGACGTCATGAGAGTAAAGTAGAATTATTGATAGAATAGTATTAATGCACAACATCATGGAGCAATACGTCATAATAGCATGAAG